ACTTAATACAGGATTATCATTTTTAGGAAGCTATTACTTAAGAGTTGCACTAAGAGGGAAGTAGAACAGGGTCCCTGTGGCCATCTTTACTGCCTGGCATATGAAGGTGCCATGATGGAAAATGTGACTCAAGCAAACATTCAACCTACTAACTTTAATTTTCTTTTTTTTTTTTTCTTTAAAGCAATTGCTATTTTATTTTATTTTATTTTATTTATTTATATATGAAATTTATTGTCAAATTGGTTTCCATTCAACCTACTAACTTTAATTTTCTATTAATTTTAATTTTCTGTGATGTATAGCTTCCTTGTCTTTGAATTTTCCTTCCTCCTCCTTTTTAATATCTAGTGCACTTCTGTTATGTGCCAGACATTGTGGTAGGTGGTGGTAATAAGCCATGAGCCATACCCTCAAGAATGTGCACTTTTTAAGAGGGAGAGACAAGTAAATTGATATGAATCCTGTGGAGTGCTAAGTGTTAGAGAGGTGAGGGTGCTCTTAAGGCACAGAAAAGTGGCAGTTTATTCCTCCTGGGAGAAGGCTGGTGAAATTCCTTAGAAGAAATGATGCTTAAGTAGAGTTTTGAAAAATGAGTAGGAAGTATCTAAAGTAGGGTTTTTTAACCTGGCATCCATGGATTCCTAATAAATCTATGGATAGAGTTCCGTGGGTCCGTAAACTTGGATGGGACCAAAAAAGGGACCACCTTTACTTTCACTAATATTGAACCACATTTAGCATTTCCTTCAATTATAACTGCAGGAAACAAACCAGTAATATTAATGGTCCCAGTGACAATGTCGCCAACAAAAATCCTAGGTTTTTTCATATCACATCCATACCATATATTTTAGGCAATTTCAAAACATCCCTAATGTTCACTACTCCTTAAAATTATAGCACTGGACCTTATTCATCCAAAAATTACAGTTACAGTTCTATTCCTGGACTATATCAACATTTTAATAAAAATTACACATATGGTCATATCAGAAATTAATTAAAAAAAATTTTTTTTTCAACGTTTATTTATTTTTGGGACAGAGAGAGACAGAGCATGAACGGGGGAGGGGCAGAGAGAGAGGGAGACACAGAATCGGAAACAGGCTCCAGGCTCTGAGCCATCAGCCCAGAGCCTGAGGCGGGGCTCGAACTCATGGACCGCGAGATCGTGACCTGGCTGAAGTCGGACGCTTAACCGACTGCGCCACCCAGGCGCCCCTATCAGAAATTAATTTTAATAATTTCAATGATTTTAATCTTTTGATAACTCAATCTCAATATAAATTGGTTTCTCATGGATTCTATGTATTTTATTTCAGACATTTAAAAGTATTACTCTGAGAAGAGGTCCATAGGCTTCAGGGCTATGGCAGTCTGGAAATAGGGTCCATGACACAGAAAAAGTTAAGAACCCCTGAATTAGTAAGAAGACTGGGGAAAGGACAGTGGTTCTTTCAGGAAAACAAAAAGTTTATGTTTGACTTTGAGCAATTTATCTTGATGTTTCAAATTATACATAATATTTATTTATTAAAAAATGTTTATTTATTTATTTACTTATTTTGATAGAGAGAGAGAGCACAAGCGAGCACAAGTGGGAGGGGGCAGAGAGAGGGAGAGAATCCCATGCAGGCTCTGCACTGTCAGCAAAGAGTTCTATGTGGGGCTTGAACCCATGAATCATGAGATCATGATCTGAGCCCAAATAAAGAGATGCTTAACCAACTGAGACACTCAGATGCCCTGTACATGTTTCTTTACAAGCAAATGTTGCTGGTATGAAGACTAAATATGTGCGTGTCAGTTCTGTGAAATACAGTGAGTAATATATACTCACTATGTTTTCATAGGGACGTGTTCCTGGGGAACAAAACTATTGATTAGGCATATAAATAACTCACAAAATTTCTAAGTCTAACAAGGACAGTCTGTCATGGCGTTAGACTCTGTAGCCAGTTGTGGGTGATAAAGGCCAAAGAAAGATGCCTGAAATACTTACTTACTCCCTTTTCCTGCATGAGCAGAATGCTAACGATCATTTAAGATCAATCAACATTTGTCTTACCTGCATTTCAATGGTTGGATACGTGCTGGAAGTAGAGAATATGCTAAAATTTTATCAAATATTAATGGAGGCATCTCATAACGTAGGAGAGAATACCTGACCAGGGATCCATAGCCTCAGGTCATAGCCCCAAGTCTGATACTAATATGTGAGTCACCTTGTGCTTGTTTATTATTGGTAAAATGGAGGCAATGACTCTCGCTTTAACTTATAAGTTTGCTCTTAGGATAAAATATGTCATTATATTTTATGTTATAAATGTAGAAATAACAGTGAAATGTTTTATCCTTGCATTAAAAATATTTTGAATATAGAATCTTTTAGACAAATGGGATTGAAAAATATATCTGTATGTGTAAAATATAAAAGGCAGATGTAGCATATGACATATTATCTGTAACATAGGAGTTAAATTCTTACAAGACTGAAAACATTGAACTTGCTATCCTAAGCCACTGGATTATTCCATAATATCATTTCTGTATGGCTGGTAACAGGCTTTCAAATATGACCTGTAGGAACTGTAGTGCAAGACAGCAATGAATTTATGTATGCACTATTTAGATTTAGTGGCACTAAGATCATAAGAAAACACATTTAATTAGTGGAGTGCATTCAATTCTAAGATTTAGATCACTTTCTCCAAATAAGCTTGTTCTTCATAGGAATCACGTAAGCACATGTTGACAAATATTGCAAACAATGGGAGAAAGACACCTATCTCAGGACTTTTCTTCCTAAAAAAATTCTATTCTCATTTATTATGCTTTTCATTAAAACTAGCAAAGGATGTAAGTACTGGCCTGGGTCTTCTATTCTTTAAGTCAATGTTGAAAGTTTATTTCTGCAGTAAAATACACCTTTCACATTCTGAGTGTCGCCATATAAATCAAACAAAGAGAACTGCATTCCAATTCTCTCCATTACCACAGAAGCATACAAGTTACCAACCAGAACATTCTTCCATTTTTAGCTTGAAGTATTTTTCAAACTCAAGTATGCTTAGAAGCATTCTTAAGTCAAGGCTGTTGGTGATTATACCTGTTAGACTTATTCTGTATAAATTATCTAAGCCAAATGGAGTCCAAAATACTGACCCTTGACTGCCAATTGGAATAGTCCCTAACCCTCAATCATTTGCTAAAAGAGACAAACGAGCTAAATTTGAGTTCAGAAACTACTGCCTCTGAATACAAAGAAAAAAAAGAGCAAAGCTTAATATGCATCTGGGAAAGATACAGTTAATGCAGAAGGAAGAGAAACATGGGGTACCACTCTAACCAGCTCATGGTCATAGCTTCCCAGGTACAGTCACCTGCACAGAGATACACAGTCATACATTTATCAACTCACATAAATGGACCGGAGTGACTACACATTCTGAAATGAAGAGAAGAAAAACCCAATGAATTTCCCCCACATCTTAGACAGTACATACATCCCCACTAACACACTCCCTCAACAAGAATAAGATCCAGAAGTCCTTAAACAGTTTTGTGGGCATCAATTATAAATTAATGAAACCTGCTGAGGGCAGACACACAAAGACACACAGTTCCAGATGTAAGCATTGAAGGAGGGCAGACCCCTGACAGAAACAGTCAGAAATTCCAAAACCGAAAAGATTGTATCCTGGATACCAAAGCAAATGATGGATTCAGGATGAACAGATTTGTATCCTGGACAGTGAAGCACACGGTAGGTTTATGAAGCATGGTAAATGACTTCTAAAACCATTCTCTCTACTACCCAAATAAAAAAAAAAAACTTAAGTCTAATGGTTCCTATCCTTTATAAGGTTGTCTTGCAGTGGACAAAGCTTTGGTCAATGGTCTTGGTCTTTTCAACTGGCTTCAAGGGCTCTGCCTCTGAATAAGTCCTCAGGCTCCTTTCTTTTTCCATTCTCTTGGGTAAGGGATGCTCTGTTTACTTCATGTGAGCTTAGATTTATGAGGTGCTGAGAAACAGGAGTATGAGGCCCTTCAAATTTTTCTTCTAGATTTAACTGTGAGTCAACACAGCGTCTTGGCATTGGTTAACACATTTGCGTTATAAAGCTGTTTGTTACTGGAGCCAATCTGATGCCTCAATGAAAGCAAGAACAAAGCAACAACTGAAGAAGTCTTCCCCTTATTCCCCCCAAAACAGCCCATTCCTTTCTGAGTCCAGACTCCTGACTGCACATGAAACTGTAGAGCACTGACTGGGGGGGGGGGTAGCGGCACTCCCTCCTCAGCTGGAGACTGCATTCAGAAAGAATAGATTTTTCCTGGCTTCTGATAGTCTGAGACATTGTGCCTGTCACTCAGAGGGTGAGAAAAATAGGGTTCAGAAGAGAAAGCAGAGATGTATAAACAGATGCAAGAGTGGGAAGAGCATACAAAGTAGGGAGATGGCAGAGACTGATATCACACCTACCCCAGGATGGGCCACTCTCCTTGTGCCTGAAAGAGGCTTCCAGGCTATTTTAATTATAAATATTTATATCCACGGAAGCAAATTCAGAAGGATTTATATCCCAGGAGAGCGCAGATCAATAGATCTGAGCAAACCTCATCTCCAGGCTGACCACTTAACACTGTTATCACCGATTAGGGCTGCCCGGCCCTCTGGGAGGGTGTCGGGTTCTCCTCTTGTCCTTTGTAGGTCCACCCCATTCTTGGCCCCAAGAGGAAATCAATATCAGGAGGCACGGATCGATACCCAGGACATCTGCTTGGCTGCAGCGGCTCACCTTAGGACAGGAGTTTGGTTAGCCCTCATCTATCCCGCAAACTCCCTTACAAGCCCCTACACCCTCCCAGTTCTGCTGGGGGCATCCGGAGTTTGATCTTTAGCTCATTTAGCAGAAATGCGGCTGACTCTTTTGAGTAAGGAAAGAAAAACTTGGTTATCATTTGCCTCACTTTCCAAAAGTGAGGAAACTTACCAGACCTCAAGGATTGGGTCATTTCCTGCCTCATGCTTCCTGCTGCCGACTCTCCGGCCACCAAGTACTGTCGGAGCGGCTGGCGCTGGCTGGGTTTCTGTTCCAGGTCTGCCTGCGTCTCCCTATGCTTGGTCTGCAGTTGATAGATCCTCTGCTCCTGAAGCATCCAGCTATTGACCCGCCCAGGGAAGAAAGAAAAAAAATGGAAAAAAAATCAATTAATACTAAACAGCTTAACAAAAACCCTGCATGCATAGCACAGGCCTGAAGCTTACAGGGTAGGAGTTGGGGTGGTCTCAGTGACAACACTGGTTGTGGGGACAGGCTCAGCCAGCTAGAAAAGCTGATGTTCCAGGGACAGGAAGCCAATATGGTAGGCGTGATCACACATACAAACACACACACACACACGCACACGCACATGCACAAGCACACACACCCGTGTCAGCTCAGTCTGACATGCCCTAGTCTGGGAGCAGAGGACAGTGCAGGTGCATGTTCATTGTGAGCTGGTGCAGGGTGACACATTCACCAGAACGGAAGGGTTGCAACCAAACTCATAGAAGGGGTGGGTATTTTTCTGTTTTTTTTTTTTTTTTTTTTTTTTTTTTTTTTTTAGGGGGGAGGGGGAGGAGCGGAAGGGGAGGAGATATTGTTTTGTTCTGAAAAGGTAATACCATTTACGTGTTGCAGAGAGGTACCCCGGGCATTTCTTCGTGCGTCTCCCCATCACACGACCACATGCAGGCACACATGAAGCTTTTTAAAGGGGAGCAAGAAAATGAGGGAGCACCATACCTCAGCTGCCAGGCCCTCTCTCTTCTGCAGGAGCTGGCTTTGAAGGTTCAGGATTTTTGCATCTCGCTGTTCCAGCTGTAAAGAGTTTACATAGGGAGGGAGCAAGGAAGGATCATGAATGTCAACCAATGAGCAATTAGCATGACAAGACTAAAGTATTGATCCACTAAAGCTCACTGCACTGCTGTAGCCCCAGAGGTAAGGCAGCTCCCCGGTCACTAACTCCGACAGTGCATTTCAGAAGCCTGTAATGTAGGGCTGGCTACTTTTGTAACCCTGACCCTTTCTCAGGGCAGGGGAGGGTGGCACCCTCATGCTGTTCAGCCGCAGCTCTAAGAGGGATCTCTATCCCTGGGCAGAAAGCTGCAGAGAAGAGCGGAAAGAATGGAAAGATTTTGGCTGTTCTACTTCATTCATTTTTTTTTTTTTTTTTTTTAAATACAGCTCCCTCCCGATGGCACCAGGCAGCTCTAGGTATTGATTGGAGAAGGGCTAGGGAGAAATCCTGGCCTGACAGCTGGGGCTGGAACTAGTGTGGTTTACCATTCTGCATGGTCAGGGGCAAAGTACCTTCTGTAGTACTAACTTCTGGCCAACCCAAATACGTACTTCCTGGGCACATTTTACTCATTTTAAACAGGAAGGTCCAAAATGGGAGGGGAAAACGTCTTATTTCACTAAAGAGGAACCCTTATTCCTAGGTGTAAGTCCGTAATACAACAAAAGAGAAAATGATGGAGTGTGGGATGCGGCAGACACAGTGTTTTGATAAACCAGCCAGGGGAGGCATTTCCTGTTAGTTTCTCCATTCTCCACTGATTCCTCTCCGTGCTACTCTTAATTATACACATACTAGCCTTTCTTCATCATTCTTCTACTTTTTCCCTATCCATTCCACACCTTTACAAGTTCACTTCTTAAATTGCTTTTCCATTTCATTCCATAGCTTCATTAAAGATCTACTAGCAGTCCATCTCCTCCCTGAAATCTTCCAAGTAGTGGTGATCATTTATTCTTTTCTGAGCTTTTACTATGTGCCCCAAACTTCTCTCCAATGATGGGCAATAACAGATATGGTCTGTATACTCAAAGAACTTACAGACTAGCTGAATCAATGAGCTACCCATTGACAACAAAACCACCCATCCATTCTTCTTCCGTCCATCTATCCATTTGTTGATTCATTCAATCTGTGCTTATTGAGAACTTCCTATTGTCAGGAACTGCTCTTTGTTAAAAATATAAAATGTGACAGAGACTTGAGTGCTTGCTGATAACCATTTCCTCTTCTTCTTCCTGGGTAATCTATATTTCCCAGCTTTTTTTGTAATAGAGCCTCATGACTGAGTTCTGGCCAAGAGAATGTGGGTGGAAGTGATGCATGCCTGGCCTGGCTCATAAAAACCTTCCACCTTACCCTCTGTTCTCTTTTCCTTCCATTGTAACCTTGATGGCAATATGTTGAAGATGGTGGTGCAATCTAGGTCTGGCAGAGAGTTGCCTGGACCCACAGTGGATTATCATATGAAGAATAAATCTGTGATGTGAAGTTACTGAGGACTTTTTGTGTGTGTTAATGTCCATGTAGCAGTTAGTGTTATTCTTACTGACTAATACAAATGTTAAATAAGAATAGACATAGCACTTGCCTTCACAGAGCTTACAGTCTATTCGGTGAGAAAGAGATTTAAATAAATAATTACAAAAATAAATGTAAAAAGACAACTGTGATAAGTATAATAGGGAGAGGTCTGAGCCAATATACACACATATCAGAGGAAAATTACCTAGACAACTGCGATTGTGCAATTATGCTGAGAGCTGAAGGGTAAGCAAATTGGGAGAACATGAGGACATTCCAGAAATAGACAAGAGAACCAGCAAAGTTGCTATTGTAAGGAGTGAGGTACATTCTAGGAACTGAAAAATCCTTGTGTTAGTAGAACAGAGAATGAGAAGAGATATGGTGCAACATTAGGATGGGGAACTGGGTAAGGTTCATTCAGGGTCTTGCAGGTTATGGATCTTAGTTTCCATCCTAAGATCACTGGGAAGCCACTACAGTGTTTTAAGCAAGACTGATAACAAAGTTTTATTTGTATGTTGTATGAGAAGTTCTCTCTGGCTGCAGTATGAAGAATGAATTGATAGTCTCATTTCCAGCCATATGGCAGAACAGAAATATTCCTTTCATCAAAAATCTTAAGATATTCCAGCTAAAGTAGAACAAATGTTCTTTTATTTTATTTTAGTTTTTTAAATTTCTATTTAAATTCTAGTTAGTTAACATGCACTGCAATATTGGTTTCAGGAGTAAAACTCAGGGATTCATCATTTACATACAACATTCAGTGCTCATCATAACAAGTGCCCTCCTTAATACCCATCACCCATTTGGCCCATCCCCCACCCACCTCCCTCCATCAACCCACAGTTTATTCTCTACCGTTAAGACATCTGTGTTTTGTATGTTTGTTTTGTTTTTTAACAAATGGCTAAGTTTGCAAGTACAGAACTCCCGAAATGCCTTGAAGAGCACTGCCTAGTCTTAGTTACTGGAGAGATTAGCTTTTAACACTCATGTGGACCCAGTGGCCCATACAAGTTAGGAAGTTAGAACTTATATTCCCCATACAAAACTGGGACCCCCTAAAAGGATAGCCTAGGGGGGAAAAAAGAAAAAAAATCTGTTTTTACAAGGATGCTTAACTTCCCCTGACCCATGGGTGGGAAAAAGTCTCCCTTGAGAATTTGCGACTATGCCTTACAGGTTTGAGGATTTGTACTTGCTACTCACCAAGTTCAGAGACCTCTAAGCTGAAAACTTAAAATCAAACTTGGTCTCAGGCTAGTAATGTTCCTGTGGCATTTGGCAAGGGCAAACCCAAAAATACTCTGGAGGGCCACAGCTTCATATAGGTCACCTGGAATTCTTATCAAGAAAGCTCTGCTTAAGATATATCCACATGTTACAAAACTAAAAACCATGAGTGAGAGTAATAGACAAAACAGCATGATTTAGATGTCTGAGAATTTCAGATGATAGAGCAATCTGGAGGAGATTGCAAAGTAAGTGTGCTTAAAGTTATTAAAAACATGAAAGAAGGTATCAAAATCATACAAAAATAGTGAGGCCTAATGAGAAAATAGAATGAACTGTAGAGAGGTCATACACGTAATGCATCAGGATCAAGAATGCAACCCTCTTGCCAACTGTGCAGGATTTGGTACATATCGGGATTCAGGAAGCAGTCATTTTTATCTTTTTCTTTTCGCTCCTTATGTTAGGTATGTAATTTACACAGGACAAATCTCCAACTTACTTTGTTAGTGATATCTAATGTATATGTGCATAATGACTGCCCCAAAGCCAGAAAGTATTTTTCATATTTAAAACTGATGGTCAGCTCATAAGACATTCTCTGTTATGATTGTTGAAGTGCCTCATAAAGGAAAATATCATCTCAGTGTGATTTCTTTGCTTCTTTGCACTCTTCAGCTCAATGTTCTCTTTCCAGCTGGGCACAAATTGAGGACACTGGCCTTTTCAATGGTGGACAAAGAGCCATAATGGGAGGGAGGTGGCAAGTATCAAAGGAAGGCTCAAAATAAGAAAGGCTCATTATTTTATCAGAAACCTTTTTTCTTGCTACTGTTTTTCAAAAATTATTTCTATATCTCATAAAGGAACTAGGAATAAGTAATATAGTCACATCAAAAGGTTACCTGGTCAGCCTGAGCTGGTGCTGTGGAAGAACCAATATTGCTTTACAAATCCCATGATATTCCTTTATAGACCCAATTTCAAGTATAATAAGAGTTTTTGGTAATGGGGAGACTTAGATGGAATTGGATGATCCTAAGCTGGTGAGATCAGGTCAATTTCACCCACCTCTAATCTCATGAGACAGTGATCATGATCACTACCATTGTTACTTTTTACTGAAGTCTGGCTAGTTGCCTGACCACGTGTTATTCCATTTAATTGTCAGAAAACCTCTGCAGAGTGGGCACTAATATCCCCATTTCTCAGATGACAGATACAAAAAATGTAATAATCCAAATTCTCAAATTTTACATCAGAACCAGGGGTAGGATAAATGCCCTTAGCCTTCCTTAGCAGGTTTGAATAGAGGCAAAACCATTCATAGCACTAAAAAGAGCAGGGGCTCATAGAGAATTTCTTTCTTTGTGTACCTTTACAGAAAGTTGTGTTCTGAGCAGCAAAATGAGACAACTGAGCTCAACAACATTTGTTTCTCTTCCACTAGCAAATGTAGACTTACTCCAGTAGGAAAGAGAGATTTGGACAACAGTGATTTATTGAATTGGGTATACTGGTGAGGCTGCTTTCAATCAGGGCTGTTTATCATGAAAAGAGTCAGGTTATCTGAGCTCTTTTCTTTCTCCCTCAGCCAAATATCCTATTGATCCATGAGGTGTGCTGGTTGTCCCTTTAGATGTGTCCCTTTAGATGTGCCTTCTGGTCTGTCTGTACCAGGACCCCAAGGCCATCTTTGTCCAAGCCACCATCATATTATTCCCAGAAGCTTCTCAATGGGCCTGCCTGCCTGCACTTTTACAACTTGGGACCAGTTCTCCCCACAGCGGCCCAAGCAATCTTTTACAAATTAAATCAGACAAGTCTACTCCCTCTCTTAAAGCCCTCCAAGGCCTTCCCATTTCCCTTTGACAAAACCCCCTTCTCTTTGCCAAGGCCTGCCCTACCCTAAAAGATCTGGCTTTGCACATTTCTCCCCTTGGCTTTCTTTGCTGGAATCACTGGGTCACCTTTCTGGTCCCCAAATACTCCAATATCCTGTGTGCTGGGCACTCAGTGTTCTTCTTTGCCTGGAAGTCTCCATCCCCACATCCTTCTTTGGCCGTTCTTCTTGTTCTTTAGCTGTTGGCTCAAATATCACCTTCTCAGAGACCACCCGCCTCAGAGGCCACTCCCCATCACCTTACCCTGCTTTGCTATCTTGCTTTTGAACACCGAATCTCAATTACCAAGCACAGTGCCTGACATATGGACATTTAGTAATATTTACAAGAATGAATAATGAGTTCCATATCTTCATTGACACCCATGATCTTCTAAGATAGAGGAAATGAGATACCCAATGAGTAAGAAAAGTTATTATTAGTAAGTCAACCTTGGAAAGAGTCTTTTGAGAATTTTCTCAAGGTAGATAATAATTT